AGTGTGGTGGAATCCCCCCTCCCCCTGCGTGGAGAAAGAGCTCGCTTACACAGACTGTGTTTGCGTTGATCTGAATTTGCCAGAATATTTGGAGATCCTGTGGGACTGTTAGACTGCTCTGGCTCCTCCTCGCCTTGATCAGATTGGTGCAAGTAAAATTAGAGAGGCTGACTTGCAAGCAGAGACAGAGATCTGACGGGCCACTTATAAATGCGTGCATCTTTTATACTGTTATTAGTGTTTATTATTTCGATATTTATTAGCTTTTATTGTAAACTGCGTTTTGGTAGTCCACTGAAGGAATCCCAGCTCTTTGCTGTTGAGTGGAAAACCAATCAGTGTAACTCACTGAGTGGACTCAAGATGAGGTGAAATAAGCTCTTTTTTTTGTGTGTGTGAAGAATAGGAGACTCCCTCGGTGCCGATGACGTTTCATCAGCACGAGCACAGGCAGGCTGTTGAAGGCTGGGGGGTTCGTTAGTTGCTTATGAAGCGCCTTGAGATCCTCCTGCAAACAGAAGTGCAAAATGTGACTGTTTCTTTGTTTTATGTTCTCCTGCAAAGCCTCCTCTGGGGAAAAGGGTGTGAAAGCAACGTTTCCTGAGTGTTTCTGGCTGTTTATCTCAGCGGATACCCACACTCCAGTGGCAGAAGTCTTTAGGCTGGAGAGGAAACGTAACCTAGGGCACCAGCTAATGAAGAGGTGAAAGCGGTGCAGGAAAATGATGTGGAAGCTGAGCTGAGCAGATCTGAAGGGAGAAGTCAATGAAAGGGGCCTGTGGTCACCAGGGGGAAGGAAGGGAACTGTAAACACTGTACAAAGCACTGTAACCATCCGATTTTTGTCAGAGTGTGGAAGCAATGTGATTGCTTTGCTAACAGGATGGAGCCAGCTTTGCCAAGCAGCTTCCCATGTGGATGCTGAGAGTTGGAAACATGTAGCATAAATTGACAAAAGGTTCTGAGTTTGGGTGTTGTTTGTTTTTCAAGGGGAAGAAAAAGGAAAAGAAAGTGCTAAATTACATTGCAGTGAGAACAAGCACCCAGTCCTTCTGGGAAATTTTCAGGATGGCAGCCAAGCGCTGCCTCATCTTGCTGTGTGTGCAAGCTGCTCTGCTCATCCACTGGATTTCAGATGT